TGGCTTCTACAGCACAGCCACTCCCAACCGTGGTGGGATTAATCTCTATAGAAAGCCCTAATCTCTCTCTCTCTCTCTCTCTCTCTCTCTCTCTCTCTCTCTCTCTCTCTCCTCTCCTCTCCTTTTCTTTCCTATTTTTAATCAAAGTCTCATGATGTAGCCCAGGCTGCCCTTGAACTCATGGTCCTCCTGCCTCAATCTCACGAGTGCTGGGATTACAGAAATGACCCACCATGCCCAGCTCCCTGAATAACTTCTTTGTATCTCATAATGAGAAATAAATTTCAACATGGGTTTTAGAGGAGGCCAAACATATTCAAACCATAGCCTTCAGTTTCTTCATCTGTAAAGGGAACAGGGACCAAAAATCCTAAAGTACGGAGGCCCAGAGAGTATCACACAGACAGCCTGGTACTCAGTGAGCTGCAGACACACTCAGGTATTCATTTCCTTTTTGGTGGAACTGGGATTTGAACTCAGGGCCTCACCCTTGCTAAAACAGGAACCCTACCACCTGAGCCAGGCATTTATTTTAGATGCTGCAACTTCCCAGCTCACCAAACTCACCTGAACAGAGTCCCCAAACAGGTTTGTCAACTGTGGCACGGAAAAAATTGCATTCCTGGAAGTGTCATGAAGCCGAGTTCACAAAACTCCAACAATGGATTTCTGTTCTGTGAAGGACATGGCACAGGTTTGGGGCTACGAAGGACAGTCTATGTACTGAGGGTTATGTGAGTTATAAAACCCCCAAATTACTGCTCACCTCTGAGCTGTAATTGAGAGTTTCATGCACTTTGTTTTCTTAAAATAATCAGATCTATTTTATTGAGGGTTTTTTTTTTTTCTGACTACAAAGTGCTGGGTGCCTGTTGCAAAAGAAATTCAAATGTTAGAGAATATGCAAGAGGGAAAATGTAGAGACTTAACATCTAGAAATGCACAGAAGGAGAAGCCAGGGCTGTGGCTCAGTGGTAGAGCGCCTGCCTAGAAAACTGAGGCCCTGAGTTCAAACCCCAGTGCTAACAAAACACAACAGCAACAAAAGCCACTCCAAACATAAGTTTCACCTCTCTCCACTCACCCTGTCCTGCTCAATAAGCCCCAGCCATGGTGGCCTTGTGCATCTATCCCCTTTGGTAGAGCGACTGTGAGGACTGGGAACTCCAGACTGGCAGAAGTTGTGTCTTATTCTTAGATGAGCCAGCGTCCTACCTGCCATCACACAATGTAACCAACACGTGGGTCTAGTGGATTTCATCTTTGACTCAATTACACTAAAGTGTCAGCAGCTGCCTTTCTCACCACTGCTCCCAGCATTTTCTCTTTATTCTATGCCTTTTTAATAAAAATTAAAGACACTACTGCACAAGGAAACCTCGTTCGCCCCGTGGAAATGGTCACAAAGTTCAAACAGAGCACAGTGTCCCCAGGTGATTCCTTCAATGTTTATTTTTCGGTTCACCTACTCTGGTTAGGCCTCCGTGCCACAGTGCACCCATACCGTCACAGTGGGGCCTCCCCAACAAAGCTTGGGGTCCTACTGGAAGACATCAGAACACCTATAATTTTCATTTTCTAAACAATATATATCTATATAATTAAGATATTATTATATAGCAATCTCACATTAGATTGGCCTAATTCCATTTTTTATAATTTATCTGTTTAGTTTTGCAGCTCAGGAGATCAAACCCAGGACCTAGCATGCTAGGCAAGTGCTCTACCACCGAGCTGCACCCCAGCCCTTTTCATTTGTTTTTGTTATTTTGGGGTGGGGGGCTGTTGCAGCAGTCTCGCTGTGTAGACCACAGGCTGGCCTGGAACTTCTGAGTGCTGGAATTACTGGAATGTTCCACCACACTTGGCTCTTTTTATTTTTACTTTTGATCTCGCTACACAATTGCACATAGTTGTGAGATAGAGTGAGGTTTCGATACATGTTTACACTGTGTAAGATCAAAGCACAGAAATTAGTGTATCTAGCTTCTTAAATATGGATTGTTTCTTTCCCGAAACCATTCCAAGTCTTCCCTTGTAACTAGTTTGAAATATACATGGCGGCGTTCTTGTTAACCAGAACCCCCACTAGGCACTAGATTTTCCTCTTCCATTCTTCCCTCCCCGTGCCCTTCCCAGTGGCTGGCAACTATTCACTGTTCTACTTTTTGCTTCTATGAGATTAAAAAAATATATATTTTTGATGGGATAGGATTTGAACTCAGGGCTTCACATTTGTAAAGCAGGAGCTCTACCACTTGAGCCACACCTCCAGTCCATTTTGCTCTGGTTCTTTTGGAGACGGAGGTCTCCCGAACGATTTGCCCAGGCTGGTCTCCAATGTGATCCTCCAGATCTCAACCTCCCAAGTAGCTGGGATTACAGGGGTAAACCACCGGTACCTGACTTGATATCCAATTTTTTTCACTCCCACACATGAGTGAGATCCTGTGGCATTTCTCTTCTGTGCTGGGCTTATTTCGCTTAACACAATGTCCTCCAGCTTCATTCATGTTGATGCAAGTGAGGGGATTTTGACCTTTTTATGGCTGAGTAGTATTCCACTGTGCATTAGACTGTATTTTCTATATCCGTTCACCCACAGATGGGCACATAGGCTGACTCCATAGCTCGGCTATTGTGAGAAGCACTGCAATAAGCGTGGGCGTCTCCTCCGCCTGTCCCTTTCCTTTCGTTTGGGTATAAGTGCCCAAGAATGGGGTCAATGGATCCCATGAGAGGGTTTCTGTCTGTTTGCTTGTTTTGTGGTGCTGGGGATGGAACTCAGGGCTTGCTAGGCAAGTGCTCCACCACTTAAGCCCCAACACTTGTTTGTATTTTGCTTTTGGAGACAGGGTCTCCATAACTGTGGGGGTTGACCTCCAATTCCCAGTCCTCCTACCTCCACCTCCTGAGTAGCTGGGATTACAGGTATGTACCACCAAGCCTGCCTATATGTTTAGCTTTATGAAGAGCTTCAATAAAGTTTCCATACCATAGTGTTTAAATATAATTTAAATTAATCTGTATCAGGGAGTGGAGCTTCAATTTTTTTTTGACAGTACTTGAGTTTGAACTCAGAGCTTTGCACTTGCTAGGCAAGCTCTCCACCACTTGAGCTATGACCCTAGCCTTTGTGTGTGTGTGTGTGTGTGTGTGAATTCAGGGCCTTCACCTTGACCCACTCCACCCGCCCTATTTTTGTGATGGATTTTTTTGAGATAGGATCTCTTGAACTATTTGCCTGGGCTGGCTTTGAACCTCGAAACTCCTGCTCTCTGCATCCTGAGTAGATAGGATTTTTTTGGTTGTTGTTTTGTTTTTGCATTGGTTATTTCCGCGATAGGGCCAGCCTACACCACAATTCTCCCACTTATGTCTCCTATGTAGCTGGAACGACCGGTGTGAACTACCATACCTGGCTTATTGATTGAGATGGGGCCCCCCAGACTTTCTGCCCAGGCTGGCCTCAAACCGGGATCCTCCTGATTTCTGCCTCCCAAGTAGTTAGGATTGCTGGCATGAGCCACCACACCCAGCTCTAAGTTTTAACATTTATTCTGATGATGTAAGGAAGCAAAACTGAAGGGAAAAAATGGACTCTTTCCCCTAGTGGATCTTGCCCCCCAGGGGACATTGGTAATGTCTGGAGACATCTTTGATTTCCACGACTGGGGGAAGGATGCCATTGGTATCTAGTGGACAGAGGCTGGGGTGCCCCCAGACCCAGACATATGTCCCCTGCCCCTAAGCCCCGGAGTCTCTTGCTTCCTTCTTCCCTCTGTACTCCTTTTTTTTCTCTCTCTCTTTTTGACGGTATCGGAGTTTGAACTCAAGGCCTCATACTTGCTCTGCAGGCGCTCTACGACTTGAGCCACTCTGCCAACCCCGTTTTCTGTTGGGTTTTATTCAAGACAGGGTCTCCAGAACTAATTGCCCAGGATTACAGGCATGAGTTACCTATGCGTGGCTGCTTCTCTCTATTCTTCACCTACTAAGACCTCAAACTCCAGTGACTATGTACAAACCATCCCCTTCCCCAAGATGCCATCTCTGATGTCCCCGTGCTGGGTTAGAGCCTCAGCTCAGAGCTTGGGCCAGTCCCCGTGCTGGGTGAGAATCTTGCTGGCCCATGGGATTCTCAACCTCCTGCTTTAACAATGGCGATTCTCAGGAGCTCCTCCATGCTGTCGAGAGTGCTGGGGACCAGAAATGTGTCATTTCTTCCATCACCCTCTCGCCTACGGGCCTGCCTGTCCTTCCTATGCACTTTCCGTAGGTGACCCGGGAACCAGTGGAGTGAGTGCGGCACTCCAAGAGCCATTAACAACCCACTCTGAAGCCAGGCACTGGTGGCTCACGCCTGTAATCCTAACTACTACTCAGGAGGCAGAGATCAGAAGGATCGTGGTTCGAGGCCAGCCCAGGCAAATAGTTCGTGAGACCCTATCTCGAAAAAATCCATCACAAAAAAGGGGTGATGGAGTGACTCAAGGTGTAGGCCCTGAGTTCAAACCCCAGTACAGCAAAAAAAAAAAACAAAACAAAACCCTCTCCACTCCAGGATGTAGGAACCATGGTCATCCCCATTGTACAGAGGAGTAAACTGAGGCTCAAAGAGAGGCAGGTGGCCTGGTTAGAGACTCAGAGCCAGAGAAGGACCCCGATCCTGAGGAGCGCTCATTCCCCGGCGAATGGGGGCGGGGAGGGTGACACACGGGGGGGGGCTGGGGGAGGAGCACGGCCTTCCGAGGCGGCCCCGCCCCCACGAGGGACGTGGAGACGCGGCCCCCGCGCAGCGTGGGGACATGTGACCGACTGCAGAGGCCGCGCCGCCTCCCGCGCCCGAGCTGCGCGCGCCCCGCCGCAGGGCGCAGACCCCTCGCGCCTCGCGCCCGCCGCCAGCCACCCGCCGGGCCTCGGGGCGCAAGAGCGGAGGCGGAGCCGGGGCGGAGCCAGCGCGCCCCGTCCCCCAAGAATCGAAAGCGAAAGAGGGGCCGGGGAGGGGGGCGGAGCCAGGCCAGGCCACGCCCCTCCGCCCTGCGCGCGGCGGGACCGACGGGCGCGCCCAGGTGGGGGGCGGCCGAGCGCGCAGTGCGGACCCTCGCGGGGACCTACGCGGCCGCCGCCACCATGTCACAGGAAGGCGTGGAGGTAGGAGATGGCCACAACTGGGCCAGGGGACCGTCACCGACGCCCGGGAGGGGCTGGCGGCACCCAGGGGGCTTCGCAGTTCTGGGGGACCGCATCCGAAGCGCACGCCTTCCCCCAACCCTGGCTGGCGCGCGGGTCCCCCCTGCCCTCCCCAGCAAGGGACAGTGACTTCCACATCCCCGAGAGCGAAATGCGGCCTCCCCGAGGAAAAGCGGGGGCTGCAGGGTCAGGGGTCAGAGACCACGGGGTAACCTGGCCGGCCTCCCTGCTCCTTACACCCCTTTGCACCCACCCCGGGCTGGGACGCGCGCCCCACTCCGCACCCTCCCCCAGTGCCCTGCGAGGACTTTGGCTTTTTCCAGGAAATGCCATAAAGGGATGGGGGGGCGCGGAAGTCAAAGCCAAGGGTCAAGTTCAGGCACGTCGGGTGGGGGAGGGGCGTCGCCTGTCCTCCCCGCCCCCACCCGAGCCCTCTGCGCCCATCGCAGCTGGAGAAGAGCGTGCGGCGCCTGCGGGAGAAGTTTCACGGGAAGGTCTCCCCCAAAAAGGCGGGGGCTCTGATGAAGAAATTCGGCAGCGACCACACCGGCGTGGGACGCTCCATCGTCTACGGTGGGGACCCGCGTGGGAAAGCCAGGGGGCGTGGCGTGGGAAGAGGCGCGGGGACCCGTTCCCGCAGGGGGCCTGGCTTGTCGGGGAGGGACACCCTTGAACTCCTACACAGCCTTCAAGGGCCTTGCGTTTCTTCTCCCACCAGGCGTGAAGCAGAAAGATGGTCAGGAACTGAGTAATGACTTGGATGCCCAGGTAACCTGACTCCTCAGCCCAAAGGGGAGGGATAGCTCAGGGGACCCAGCCAGCCTTGGTGTCCCACTCTGGAGCAAGAGGGACGCGACGCGGTGGCCAATCCACAGCTCATCATCACTCCACCTCATTCTCACCTTTTCCCCTCTCCCATCTGCTAACGGCCAAGGAGCCTGCAAACAGTAGGCACTCGTTATGTGCTGATTGTACTAAAAGGGAGAAAGAGAAACTGAAACTAGGGAGAAAGGAAGAAAAACTGAATGGCTTTGATGTTCAGATGTGACATGGCCCCTTTGCGTCTTAGAGCACTTTGGTCACTGGTAAAGTGGCTTGGACCACCTGAAAGGCTTATTATCGTAGTCATTAAAGAGTATAAATAAAGTGTGTTATACTCTTTACGTGTATGCATAGAATGTGATTAAAACAGACCAAAAGAGAGTGGTAGATGAGCACTTCCCGTATGACAGGAATTATTTCATGGCCACAGTGACATGGGAGAGAGGTCCTGTTATACATTATCTTCCCATTTTGCTGATGAGGAAACTGAGGTCCAGAGTGGTAATGTCACCTGCCAGGTTCATGCAGGAAGCAGGCAGCAGATGGGATTTGAACCCTGGCCACCTGGGATTAGAACCAAGGCTTTCAGATGCCTCTCAGTAAGGTCTCAGTGGTTGCCTGCCTTTTGCACAGCTGGAGGTGTTAGAGTTGGGATTTGAACCTGCATCTCACTGCTTCCTAAACTGTTAGCCTAAAGCAACGTGGCCTCAAAGAAGTGGTGTCATGGTACCACAAATGTGTGGTGTTTGCAGGCCAGCAGGGAGAATGGGGTGCAGCCCCACTCATTCAGGGTGCTCTTGGACTCTGGGCCTCAGTCCCCCCCAGCAATGGTGATAACAGGTATTGAATAGCTGAGGCCACACACCTGGCTCTCAGAAGCAGGTACTGCTGTCACTTCTGGCGACTCACGGGCTCCCTGTTCTCAAATGGGTCCAGGACCCTGTCTCCGCATCCAGGAGCCCCTCCCTTCCCCCCATACAGGGGTCCTTCCTTTGGCAAGCAAGAGTGCAAAGAGACCTGAGACCCTTCCCCAGTTTCTTAGTTCTGTTTCTCCACCCAGGACCCACCAGAGGACATGAAGCAAGACCGGGACATCCAGGTGTGTTGGCGGTGGGGAGGGAGGATGGGGGCACATCCATGCATTTGGAGGAGGAGATTTGCTGGGCAGGAGGAGGACACATTTGTAGGAAGAGGGGGCTGACACGTTTGTATTGCTGGAGGAGGGTGACACCCTTTTGTCCCCACCCCTCCATTCCACAGGCAGTGGCGACCTCCCTGTTGCCTTTGACAGAAGCCAATCTACGCATGTTCCAGCGTGCCCAGGATGACCTCATCCCTGCCGTGGACCGCCAGTTCAAAACTGGGCATGGTGGCCCATTCCTGTCATCCCAGCTATGATGGAGGCATGGTCCAAGGTCAGCTGTGGGCAAAAAAAAGTGAGACCCTAGCTGAAAAATAATTAAAGCAGCCAGGCACCAGTGGCTCATGCCTGTAATCCTAGCTACTCAGGAGGCAGAAATCAGGAGGACTGCAGTTCAAAGCCAGCCAGGGCAAACAGTTCCGTGAGAACCTATCTCGAAAAAACCCAACACAAAAGTGGGGCTGGTGGAGTGGCTCAAGGTGAAGGCCCTGAGTTCAAGCCTCAGCACCGCCACCAAAAAAAAAAAAAAAACAAAAAAAACCTAAAGCAAAAAGCACTGGGGGTGTGGCTCAAGAGGTAGAGCACCTGTTCTGTTTAGTAAACACAGGTCCTGAGTTCAAATCCCAGTATCACCAAAAAAAACTTGACCTTGAGTCTGCCTGAGATTAACTCCTGACCCACATCTGCAGCAAGGGTCCCTCTGACGGAAGGGCGTGAACTTCTGAGAGCCTAAGCCACAGCCTCCAGCCTCTGGAGTCCAACTCTTGACCTGTAGCTGGGCTCCTGCCCTGGAGTTCCAGAAGCTGAACTCCTTGCCCCAGGCCATAGAACTCGAACTCGATCTCGATCCCAGGCCACACTCCCAAATCTGGCTTCTGAACCCCCTGACCGGCAGAGTGCTCTTGGTAAATGCTTAACTAGCTCTTGGCAGGACGGTCCTGGGGGAGCCCGGTTTGCAGTGTTTGCCGATTGCTGTTTACCACTGTGGCCATCGACAGGCCACCAGCGTGAGCCACTGAACTGGGAGCTGGGCATCTGAAGGCCACACCAGCCACTGCAGGCCTGACCCCAAACCCAGACACCTTTGACCGCCCTGGTCCCCTCTCCACCTGCTCAGGTGTCCAGGTGCCGAAAATGTCGCAAGCGCTATGAGCCGGTGCCAGCTGACAAGATGTGGGGGCTGGCTGAGTTCCACTGCCCAAAGTGTCGGCACAACTTCCGGTGAGGGCAAGGGTGTCTCCCCCCTCCCCCCGTCCCAACCCTCCCCTCCCCAGCCCCGCTCCGCAGCCCACCCCCAACGGCAGCCCGGACTCGCCCTCGGGCCCTCACCACCCTGCCCGCCCCCAGAGGCTGGGCACAGATGGGGTCCCCGTCCCCCTGCTACGGGTGTGGCTTCCCCGTGTATCCGACACGGATCCTCCCCCCGCGCTGGGACCGGGACGTGGACCGTCGGAGTTCACACACTCATTCCTGCTCGGCCGCCGACTGCTACAACCGGAGAGGTGAGGCCCGGACCTGACCTCCCCCTGGGGTCTTAGGTACAAAGCTGGGCGTCCCCGGGCCTCCGTCATGTTTTGGCCTCTCCCCAGACGACACCCACATTCCTGGCTGTGTCTTGTACTCTGAACACGTCTGAATTTTGTGCAGCTGTGGCCTCGGCTCCTCCTCCAGCCTCAGCTGCCCCCGGTCCCCAGACTCTTCCCCAAACCTCAAGGTCCTGACCGCTCCCCCTCTCCCCCCCAGAGCCCCATGTGCCGGGGACCTCCTGCGCCCACCCCAAGAGTCGTAAACAAAACCACCTGCCCAAAGTCCTCTACCCCAGCAACCCGCACATCAGCAGTGGCTCCACCGTGGCCACCTGCCTGAGCCAAGGTGGCCTCTTGGACGATCTGGACAACCTCATCTTGGAGGACCTGAAGGAGGAGGAGGAGGAAGAGGAGGAGGGTGGGCCCAGGGAGTGACCCCTCCGGCCAGGTGCGCACAGGAAGCAGACACGGTCAGTCTGTGGATACTTGGTGGTGTTATATAAGCTCAGCCAAGGCGCAGACACCCCTGGGAGCCCTCTCTGGGCCTGCGACCTTAGCTGGGGAATGGGGAGGAACTCCTGGGGCCCTGGGGAAAAGTCACGCAGAGGAGGCCTGGCCAGGACTCTGGCTGACCGGCCTCCCCTGGGCCCTAGGGGACAGAGGAACAGGTAGTCACAGCCTCACAGGCCGGATCAGCATCGCAGCCTTCCTCAGAGAGTATGCCCCACCGCGGAACTCAGCCCAGTAGACGCCGTCCTGGTAGCGGCTCCGGTAGTGACCACCGTGGTGCCACACACCGTTGAGGTTGGAGTGGGCACAGGCATGGTACCACCAGCCCCCACGCTGGTACAGGGCACAGTTACCTGAGGGGAGAGAGAGTGAGTCTGTGTCCCCAGCAGAATAAAAGTCTGTACCAGCACCTCATTGTGCAAGGCTTTTGCCGGGCATCCCCTGGCCCTTTTCAATATTATTGAATATAAGCCCTGCTCCTCCATCTCCTCTCCAAAATAAAAGCCCTAGCTTCCCATTTTCTTCTTCAGAGTAACAGCCTTAATTCCCGATCTTCCTGCTGAAGTACAAGTCACACCTTCCCCAACTTTTCTGCTAAGTAGATGCCTACTGCTCATTCCTTTATCAGGAAAATAAAAATCTCTATTTCCTTTCTACAATAAATGTCTGGACTGGAGGGGGGTGTGTCTCAGTGGTAAGAGCTCAAGGCCCTAGCACTCAACCTCTGCCCTCAGCCAGTACAGGATTCCTGAAAGTTTTGCTTCATCAGAGAAGAAATCTGGGCTCCCATCCCCTCATCAAAATAAAAGCCTGGTCCCTTGTTCTCTAGTCAGACTACAAGCTTCCTTACTAGAGGAAGCTTCTGCCTTCGTTCTCTCACCAGAACAAAAGTCCCATCTCTTCTACCCTCCTACTAGATTAAAAGGTCTCCTTACCAGAATAGGAGTCTCTGTCTCTATCCATGGTGCTGAAAGGCTTGTCGCTGTGCCAGGACAGAGAATCTCCTGCATCACCATGGTACTGGCCAAGCCGCAGGCGGTAATGGTCACTCTCGGGTTCCAGAGAGAAGCTGTCGTAGTGGGCACGTGCCCCCCGGCCCCCCCAGTCCTCCAGAAGCACCAGCAGCTCATGGTCCCCGCGGCTGGTCAGCTGGTATATGGGTTCGAGGCCCAGCCAGTATTCCCCATCGGGCCGTCCAAAGCCCACCTGGCAAGGGTGGGACCATGAGGAAATGAGGAGTCCTGGGCCCCGCCTGCCCTGCCCACCCGCACCCACCTTGTAGTGCTGCCAGTTCGTGAAGAAGTTGACGGACCCGTCTTGTCGCCGCTGGATCACAGTCCAGCCCCCACCCTCCACCTGTTGCTCACACCACGCCGAGACCACACGCCGGCCCAGCTGCAGCTCATACACTTTGCTCTGCCCGTGGCCCGCCTGCTGGGCCTCTGCGCAGTCCCGCCAGGGGCCTGTGGGCACAGGGGTAACGGAGGCACAGCCAGGGCCAACCACTGCGTGCCACAATAGGATTCATGACTCATTGGTCCCCTCACCCAAATAAAAAGTACTGCCTCTTCCTTTCCCACACTCTTAACTAAGTACCAATAGCCATTTCCTTACCTAGGTAAGTCACTCTTCCCTCAGCAGAGTGGATGTAGAGTCTGGAGTTCCTAAACTCTGCTTCTTTGGTCTTCTCACCAGCATATAAGCCCTGAACATGGTACTGTAAACCAGTTCCTCACCAAAGTGGCAGACCTAAAATCTGTCCACTCACCAAAATAAGAGTGCCTTCTCTCCTGTTTCCTATTTTCACATCATAACAAGATTGGTCTTTGTGGGTTTTTTTTTTTTTTTTTTTTTGCAGTGGTTTTGTGCATGCTAGGCAGGTGCTCTACGTGGAGCTACATTCCCAGCCCTAGTCTTTTTTTTCTTTTTTTCTTTTCAGTCAAAATAAGAGCCCTATCTCCCTGCTTCCTTGCCAGAATAAGAGCCTCATTTTCTCCAGTCCTCTCACTATAACTGGACTCTGCCATTAAAATCCTGACTTCTAGTGCCTTCTACCCACACTGCACTGGGAATTCCTAGTTCCTTGCATCCCCAACAGCCCTGCCTCATCTTACCAGCTGGCTTGGTGGGAGCAGCAGGGTGCCCTGCAGACAAGGGGGAGGCCTGGGGCCCCTGCTGTCTCAATGTGTGGTCTCTCTGAGGCTCTGGGGCTGGGTCCAACCTGCTGCTGGTGTTACTGGTGCCACCCACCAGACTCAGAGGAACCACAGGCACCAGGGGTGGTGGCAGGACCTGGTGAGGGAGAAAGTCAGATGTAGGTGCCCTCATCCTCTGCTCAGGAGGCCGGTGTCGGGCCCTGGACGATGGGTAAAGCTCCTGGTGCCCTAACAATCAGGAAGCCGGGCAAGGAGATCCCCCGGTACTAGGCCCATCCGCCCCCAAGCCTAACTCGTGGCCCTCAAGTGCACATAGAGCTGGGCTAACATTCCCGCCATGGTGCTCGGAGCTTAACTAATCTCTGCCTCAGTTTCCCTTTCCGAAAAGGTAGGCGTAACAGGAGCACATTCCAACTTCGAGTGTTTAGCTTACCAAATTCTCCCATCAACCCTGGAACATAGGGACAGTCACAGAGCAACAACGTCTAACCCGAAAGCTGGGGCAGGGCTGAGGGTGTAGCTCAGTGGCGGAGCATTTGCCTAGCATGCACAAAGCCCTGGGTTCTTCCCCAGCACCCTAAAACCAGCGGGGTCAGAAATGCTCCAGAATTCAGAGCGTGGCGGGAGGCACATGGGGATATACTATCTTTGGGCTTCATGTGAGTAGAGGACCTTATGAATATCTGCGTTAAGTGTGTACAAGTACTATAAATAACCCTCATGTTTTCAGTCAAATAAGTAACGAGACCAGGCGGGTGGAAATTTTGTTTTTTCTTTTTGGTGAGGCTGGGCTTTGAACTCAGGTCTTCACTTGTAAAGAAGGCCCTCTACCACTTGGACCACACTTCCAGTCTATTTTGCTCTGGTTATGGAAATGGGGGTCTCGCAAACTATTTGTCCAGCCTGGCCTCGAACCTCGATCCTCCCGCCCTCAGCCTCCCAAGTAGCTAGGATTACAGGCTGAACCACCGGCTCCCGGCTAGGGTTCTCCCCACTCCCTCCCGACTTTCGGATTTCGGAACTGCGGAGAAGAGGTGGGGACAGCAAGTGGCCGCTCCGAGAAGAGGCTGGGCGGTTACCTGCTGCTGCCCAGCGGCGCCCCCGGGGCACAGGCGCTCCAGGCGGGCGATGAGGCCGCTCTGCTGGCTGACCAGCTGTGCCAGCTCGCGGAACTTGACGTCCAGCTGGTGGAAGCGCGCGGCCGCGTGCTGCGCCTCGGCGGAGGCGTTGAGCACGCGCTCCCCGAGCAGCGCCAACGCGGCGGCAGGCTCCGCCCCCGGCCCCGCCCCGGCGGCGGGCTCCGCCCCCTGGCCAGGCCCCGCCTCGTGCTGCAGCTGCGCGCGCAGCTGGCCCAGGCGCGCGCTCAGGCCCCGGCTCTCCTTACGCAGCGCGCGCACCTCGCCCGCCACGGCGCCGTCAGCGGCCGCCAGCCGCTGCAGCTCGCGCAGCAGCTCCTCGTGGCGGCTCACGCGCATGCGCAGCGCCGCCACCTCGCTGGCGTTGACGGCGTCCGGCGTCGGGCGCGCGGGGGCGGAGCCGCTCCAGCACACGGCGCCCGTGAACTTGTGCTGGGGCAGCACGAAGGTGTAGGTGCAGCGCGGGGCGCCCGCCCGCGCCCGCCACGCGCACAGCAGCAGCAGCAGCAGCAGCAGCAGCGGCGGCGGCAACGCGCGCATCGGGAGCGCGCACATGGCTCACCTGCAAGCAGAGGAGGAGGAGGGAGGACGTGGGACTCCAGAGCCACAGGCAGCCTCCTCTCCCCACTATGCTCCACCTGCGGGACCCCCGGGGCCCATGCCCGTCCTCATTTCCATACTGTGGGTTCCTCGCGCTTTAATTCATTCATTCATTCATTCATCAAGCAGTTATTGAACGCAGCAATCTCGGTTCGAATCCGAGTCACTGCACCAAATGTAGGCCCCAAAGTGACCACGTGGAGAGGAGTGATCTGGCCAAGAGACTCTACTGCCGGGTGGGAGAGGGAGAGAGCCAAGAAAGCGAGGGAGAGAGGGGCAGGGGCTTAAATACCCCTCAGTGGGACTCAGCATGATCTGATTGGTTAGGATCTTATGGTTCATGCTGATTGGAGGTTGGGGCAGAAGGAGGGTTCAAGCTAGACTTGAGGCAGGACCGTAACCCTGGAAAACAGAAGCTTAAGGGTGCAGTAAGAACTGAAACTTCTCAGTGCCATTATTGCCAACATGCACCGTGAATAGTTGGGAACAAAACACGAGAGTCCTTGCCCTGGTAGGCAATAAACAAAAATAGGAGTAACAGAGTACCTGAGTCCGTACTAAGTACTAAAAATAAGAGAACCTCAGATACAGGGGATCCGTGCCAGGGCGGATTGAGAGGTAAGTGGTTGTTGAAGGAGGACATGAAGGAGGTGAGGGAGGAAATCCTGTGAGTGTCTGGGGAGAGAAGGATGGGGGTGGGGCAGCAAGTGCAAAGGCCCTGAGGCTGCACCTGATGGAGGAATTGCAGGCAGTTTAGGGAAGGTGGAGGTAAAGCATGGGGCGTGGGTGGGGATGTGGGAGGAGAGGTCTCATTAAGTCCTCTCATATCTCTAGTAGTGGACAAGTTCTCAGGCCCAAACCCCATTACATCTTTCTTCACGCCCCCCCTCCACTTGAAGCCAGGGCCCCCAGGGCCTCAGGAGGACTGCCACTGAGCCACACACCCCAGCCTGCAGCGGCCTTTTTCCACAGCAGCTCCAAGCCATCAGCCAGGCCTGTCCACTCTTCTGTTTAGACACAGAATTCCTTCACACTCCCTTTCTCCCCCATTCCCAGCTCCAGACACCATCTGGATTTCCTTACAGTAGTGACCTCCCTGTTGGCCAATCTTCTGCCTTTGACCTCTGGTCTGTCCCCTATACACACAGAGGCCAGAAGGCACTGTGAACACCCCTCTGCTCAGAGCCTTCTGTCCCACCTCACTTAGAGGAAATAAGCAGATCCTCCTGGTGATCCTTAAGGCCCTGCAGTCTGCCAGGTCCTTCCTGCCTTCATCTCCTCCCCATGCACCCACAAACAACTCCAACTGCAAGGCCTTTGTAGTTCCAGTTTCCTTAGTCTGAGCACTGTACACCCACACACACATGTATGTATGTATGTATGTGTTTTGTGTGTGTACTGCTGGGAATGGAACCCAGGGCAAATGCCACCCATCTACACCCCCAGCCCTTTTTTATTTTTACTTTGTGACAGGGTCTTGCTATGTAGCTCAGACTGGCCTCATAGTCACCATCCTCCTACCTATGCTTCCTGAGTAGCTTGGATGACAGATGTACACCACAACATCTGACTTGTTGATTGAGATGGGGTCTCACTTTCTGTCTTGAATTTCAATCCTCCCGATCTCCGCCTCCCACTGGGACTACAGGCGTACACCACCGTAGTTCACTCAAAATCCCTGCTTTTATGGAGCTGATATTGTAGTTGGGAAAACAATAAGTAAAACTCAGTAGGTAGGTGATACTGCTTAGGAGAAAAAGCCAGTAGGAAAGGCGCCAGGAGTCTGGAGATGAAGAGAAGGTGTTTAAGTAGATGGATCAGGAGGAGGCATGGCTCAAGTAGTAGAAGAGTCGGAAAAGCCTCACCAAAAAGGTGACAACTGGAGCAAAGATCTGAAGGAAGAAAGAGGCGGAAACAGCATTCCAGGCAGAGGGAACAGCAAGTGCAAAGGCTCTGAAGTTGGACCTTGCTTTGGTGCTGGCCAGGGAACAGCAGGGAGGCCTGCGAGGGTGGAGCAGAGGGAAGGGGAGAATAGGAGGTGATGAGGGCACAGAGGTAACGGCATAGCAGGCAGGGCCTTGTGGGCTGTGAGAAGGACTCGATTTACTCTGAATCAGGTGGGAGCCATGGAGGGTTCTGGGAGAACAGCACAATCACTAAGGTTCTACTGGGTCAAGCTGGAGTTCCCCAGGGCAGGGTCTCGTCTTTGTCTTTCTTTTGCCAACACCAGGTCCCCTACAACAGGATGGACCCCACGCTGTCAGCCCAAGTTAGCAAGAACCCTCCCGATCCAAGCCAAAGCCATGATCTCCACCTCCATCTGCACGCACACCCTCTCACCTTTCACGACCAAGACCGAGGTTTTCAGCAAGCACGAGAAGTCCGAGGAAGAGCCAAGGGTCCAGTAGGGCCTCTGTGCTGGGGAAGGGGAGAGGCTGGTGAGAGACCAGGAGAGAGAAGGCTGAGAAACCACCCTCAATCCCCCTGCCCCCTGAGCCCGTGACTGCAGCAATGGTAAATATTTACCACTTCCCCCGTGAGAACTGAGGCAGAATTTCCAGACCACCAGAGTCTGATAACACAGGTCAGCGCCCTGGACAGCCCTTTCTCCTCCTCCCAGAGGAGCAGAGCGTGGGAGGCTGCAGGCCCCGGCCAGACCTGCAGGATCTGGGCCCCAGACATCCACATCACACAGAGAAGGACAAAGATGGCTGTCACTGGTAGGCACGTGCTCTGTGACAGGGACGGCATTGAACCCAACACCTTTTTCTCTCACTTAATCCTAGCAATCTGAGCTGGGTTCTGTGTGTTACCTTAAATTTTACAACTAAGGCTCAGAGAGGGTGAGCTACTTGCCTGTGATCACACAGCCAGAAAGACAGAATTGGAAACAAAATATACATTCATGCAACAAGTGTATATTCAAAATACAGCACAGCTTAAAGGGAAATGCCCTGTGGGCTGAGTGTATCAGATCTGTGTGTCAGACACATCCTCTTGGCCCAAGAAGCACAGAGATTACAAGGAGACATGGTGAAACCCATTTGCCCATCCGCCCCACCATTCAAGTTCCCTTTGTCTTTCACACACTTGGTCTCATTTTCACACAAGTCAAACCACACAGGGGCAGAGGAAAAGAAACAACCCTGCAGGCATTTCTCAGACATAGAAAGAGATCACCCAGAGTCCCCTGGAGCCCAGTCCCAGGGTCCCCAACCTGTCTGAAGACCCCACAGAGGAGGAGCAGGGTCCTTCCCTTCTTTGAACCGTCCGGAGTAACCCGAGTGCACTCCAGCGCTGAGAGAGGAAATGGTCCTCCCAGATCCAAGAGAGAGGCTGCCAGGCTGGGCTCCGGGCCTGGCCTGGGACCCCCCACACTGGGCCCCTCGGCCCCCCACCCCCAGCCCCCTCTGGCTTCCCCACTGGCAGCAGAGAGGGGGGCTGAAGGAGGGGGAGAAAGGGGAGATATGGAGAGAGAGAGACACTTGTGGAGGCAGGGAGAGAGCTGGGAACAGATGGGGGCTTACTGATGATGAATGGGATGGTCGATGACAAAGTTGGGGAAAAGAGAGATGGAGGTAGGAGGAGACAGACGGGGGAGGCAGAATGGGGGGGGTGGGGAAGAGGAGAAAGAATCCAGGAGAGGCCATGGCAGAGGAACAGCCCAACCAGGGGGTGTCCATTCCTTCACCGCAAGGTTTCGGGGAGGAAGCCAGCGTCCTGAGGCCAAGTCTGGGGCTTTGAATGGAAAGAGGGAGGAGGTGAATTATTCACCAAGCACTGGCCTTACCCAGAGTTTCCAGAATGTGATGTGGAGTTTCCATCCCTTGGCCCATCAGCAGACAGGGTCCGCGGGGATGACAGATGGCCTTCAGGAACTGGGGGACAAAATAAATGACCGACTGCCACAAGCTCTATTTATTCCCTTGTCTCTCTGTGTACAGCATGGCTCCCCAAGTGTGCCAATCATTGTACCTTCGCTCGCTCTCTCTTTTCATGCCCTGGGCATGCTATTATCCTCACTTTGGGATATCTTAGTAGCCTCCGAGTGGAGAAAATGGTTATCAAAATTGCACAGCTGGTGAAAAGCCGGAGGATCGTGAGTTCAAGTTGAAGGCCATTCTGGGCTACATAGAGAGTTCTGGGCCAGCATGAGCTAATAACAAGATCCTGTCTCCAAAATCTAAAAAAACACAGATGGAGGAAATAGGACACGACGAGATTCGAACCCGTGAATCTGACAATGCGCGGCCTGGAGCTGAGTAGCCCTGTTTAGTTTCCGTAGGACAGGTCTCGCAGTGTCTCCATAGCAACTCCTCCTACGATTTCCGCCAGCTTCCCTCAGGCCACGCAGTGCGTCGGCCCGCCTGATGACGCCACTCGCCAGGCGCCGGAAGTGAGCAGCACAGTGCCGGAAGCGACGGCAGAGGCGGCCTCGTGGAGGAGAAGGCAGCATGGGACAGTCGGGGCGGGTAGGTCACGGCGATCAGGGCGGCGGGGAGCGCAGGGTGGGGACGAGCCGAGACTGCGACGCTCACCGTTCGCCTGTCGCCCTCTCAGTCCCGGCACCAGAAACGCGCGCGCGCCCAGGCGCAGCTCCGCAACCTCGAGGCCTATGCTGCGCAGCCGCACTCGTTCGTGTTCACGCGGGGCCGCGCGGGTCGCAGCGTCCGGCAGCTCAGCCTGGATGTGCGGCGGGTTATGGAGCCGCTCACCGCCACCCGCCTGCAGGTCTGCACCTCCATGCCCACCTCCACCCCACCCTGGGCCCCGGGATCGCGGGCGCGCAGGTAGACGCATGTAGCCTTGGTCTTGGTTGTGTGCGGAAGCCTGGGTTGTAGTAGCTCGGGGGTAGAGAGCTTGCTTAGCACGCGCAAGGCCCTAAGTTGTCCCTGTCGCAAGAAGAAAAAAAGCAATGGACATAGTAAAGCTTGGCTTCTCTTAAAGTTACTGAGCCTCAATTTGCACATCTATCAAATGGGACGGCGCACTGTAAGCAATGGGCGGGGGCAGCATTTGAACTCAAGTCTGATTGGCTCCAGAGGCCAGGATCTTGCTATTCTTCTGGGCTTGGCCCTGTTGGGATGGTTAGATGCAAAGAACAGCATAACAGGGCCCTCAGCTCAATGAGGGATGTTAGTATTTGTTCTTCTCCTTTGTGTGATTTGCAGGTTCGCAAGAAAAACTCGCTGAAGGACTGTGTGGCAGTGGCTGGGCCCCTTGGGGTCACACACTTCCTGATCTTGAGCAAAACGGACACCAACGTCTACTTTGTGAGTGGGCACCTACACCCTGAGTCTCCCCCAGGCCTCCTCCCCAGTCTCTCATGATGATCCATGTGCCCCTGAGTTGCCATGATTCTGGCTTCAAAGTAAACGCTCTGAAGAGATGTGGCAGTGGCTCCCATCGTCCTGTCCCCTAGCTGGACCCCTGCACCCTCACTCATCTTCTCTTCTCCTACAGAAGCTGATGCGCCTCCCAGGAGGCCCCACCTTGACCTTCCAGGTCAACAAGGTGAGGGGTAGAGGTGGTGGGGAGGGGAGCCATGTGGAACAGGAGCTGGGTTTGGGGATGACTCGGCCACGTGGATAGTGTCGCCGTCACCCACTCGTTGTCCTCCCTGCAGTACACACTGGTGCGTGATGTGGTCTCCTCACTGCGCAGGCACCGCATGCACGAGCAGCAGTTCATCCACCCGCCCCTCCTGGTGCTCAACAGCTTCGGCCCCCACGGCATGCACGTGAAGCTCACAGCCACCATGTTCCAGAACCTGTTCCCTTCCATCAACGTGCACAAGGTGCTCTGACGCGTGGCAGGCAGCAGACCTTTCTCCCGCTCCCTTTCTACAGAGACGAAGTCATTTGCCTCTGAGGTTAGGGTCAAGGAGGCAGGACTAGACTTTTGTTTATTTTGGCGGGGTGGGGGAGGCTGTGGTGGTGGTGCTGGTGGTGGCGGCGATAGGGATAGAACTAGGCAAAGTACTAGAGTTATTTTTTGTTTCTTTTTGGGGTTTTGAGACCCAGTCTCGATATTTAGCCCAGGCTGGCCTAAAACTGAAGATCCTCCTGCCTCAGTTTCCCAGGTGCTGAGATTACAGGCAGGTACCACCATGCTCAGCAAGGCTGGAGTTTTAAATCTCTTTGGCTGCAGAGTCCCAGCCCCTAAACCCTGGCTCTGGTGGTTCTTCAATTAGGCTTATGATAAGATGGTCCTAATTAGGAAATCTGGTGTGGGTAACACTGGTGGGCCCCACATTCACAGTTTTCAGGAGCCCATGAATCCTGCTTGCCTTGCCCAACCTGCGTGGTGTCACCAGTAACACAGTCACATACATGCACACTTGACTCTGGTGCCTGCAGTGGGATGGGGCCAGCCTGGCCAGGTCATCTGGCCTCAGCGTGGGTCCCGGGCAGCTCACGTGGTCCCCTGTCCCTGCCAGGTGAACCTGAACACCATCAAACGCTGCCTTCTGATTAACTACAACCCTGACTCCCAGGAGCTGGACTTCCGCCATTAGTGAGTGCTGGGAGCGGGGAGGCACTGCAGGGTGGGTGTCCCCGTGCGGCTGATGACAGCACTGCTGCTGAGACTCCATGATGGCTCAGTCTCAAAGTAAACGCACTGACGCACTCTGGGAAGGGATGCCAAGCTGCCCTCTGATCCCGGGTCCCCTAACCCAGTCTGTTCCCCACTACAGCAGCATCAAAGTGGTCCCTGTGGGTGCTAGTCGCGGGATGAAGAAGCTGCTGCAGGAGAAGTTCCCCAACATGAGCCGCCTGCAGGACATCAGCGAGCTGCTGGCCACGTGAGGAGGGTGCTGGGCGGGAGGGTAGGGGGCACGCAGGACTGCTCCAGGAGCCAGGGGACCCACTGAGCCCGTCTGTCCCTCCACAGGGGCGCAGGGCTGTCAGAGAGCGAGGCAGAGCCCGATGGCGAGCACAACATCACGGAGCTGCCCCAGGCCATCGCAGGTCGTGGCAACATGCGTGCCCAGCAGAGTGCTGTGCGGCTTACGGAGGTGAGGCAAGAACAGGTGGCCTGTGATGGCAGGGTGGCTTCTGGCACCTCCCAGCCCCACAGAAGGACTGAATGTCTCCTGGGTCCCCCCAGATCGGGCCCCGGATGACGCTGCGACTCATTAAGATCCAAGAGGGTGTTGGGGCCGGCAACGTGCTGTTCCACAGTTACGGTGAGCTGGACAGGGTGCCGTGGGTGGGGGGTGGTGCCAGTGGGCCTGTGGGGACCGCAGGGAGCCATGTCACACATCCCCCCACTCAGTGCACAAGACAGAGGAGGAGCTCCAGGCCATCCTGGCGGCCAAGGAGGAGAAGCTGCGGCTCAAGGCCCAGAGGCGGGACCAGCAGGCCCAGAATGTGCAGCGCAAGCGAGAGCGCCAGGAGGCCCACAAGTCAGTGGCATGACAGGCCAGCCGGCAGGTGGCGGGTGGGTAGGCTCCTGGCTGGGGCTGACCACTGCCCCTCTCCTGCAGGAAGAAGAGCCTGGCAGGCATGAAGAGGTCCCGGGCGGGGGCTGACGGGGACAGCGATGCTGAGGACCCTGGGGCGCCCCCAGAGGCAGAGGGGCCCAGCCGCCAGGGAGAAGAGGAGGATGAGGCTGAGTACTTCCGCCAAGCAGTGGGCGAGGAGCCTGATGAGGGTGTGTGGTAGGGTGGTGAGCTGGTCGTGGAGCCTGTCTTTGCAACCGGGGGTGGGGGGGAACCTGACCCTGTGTCTCCCCACAGACATGTTCCCCAGGGTGGCCAAGCGGAGACGGCTTTCCGGACCCCCAGGCAGGAAGTGGCAGGTGAAGCAGCGGAGGCCTGACCGGGACCGTGGCAGAGGCCGGGGTGGGGCCTGGAGGCCCTCAGAGCCCAAGGGCCGACCCCAAGGGGCCCAGGCCAAGCCAAGGCTGAGAGAGGCTGCCCCAGGCCGTGGCCGAGTCCAGCGTCGTCCACCAAAGAGAGGCACCTGAGCCGAGCCCCAGCGGCACACAGGAACGCCCCAGATTGGGGCCCGGGAGCTGCCCTGGACACTCCTAGGCCACCCCGGTTTCCTTTCATAAAGGAGCTGTCACCCCACCTTCCCTCCAATAAACCACCAAACATGGCATACATCTGTGTCTGCTTTTGGGATGGGCTGGGGGCCAACAGGATGGAGCCTAGGGACCTGGCCAGCCCCAAACGGAAGGTAGTGCTAGCTTCGGCCTGGGCCATGTGGCCCTGGCCCCTCCCTAATGCTGTGAGCAGCCGGCCTTCCTTCCTGCAGCAGGATGAGGAAGGAAGCGTCTGGGCGGGAGGCGGCTCCTGGCCCGGCTCTGCAGGCTGAGGTTGGAGCAGCCTCAGGGGCAGGCGGTGGCCCTGCTGCTGGGAGCTTGGGAGGGGCCTCAGGTGTCACAGATGCTGGAGCAGGCCATGGCGGCCTACAGCACAGGTGAGCAAACGGCTGGTCTGGTTCATGCTTGACGTGGGGACTAGGCCATCGCCACTTAGCCTGAAATGGGGGCAATGGGGCTGGCCAGGTTCCAGGGGCAGAGGGGACTTCACTCGCCAAGGACTTGCTAGGGTGGGAGGAGGGTGTGTGCCTTGCCAGTGGTCTGCAGGACACCGGGAAACAGGCTGAGTGGGGTATAGGGTGGACTCCAGCCCCGTGCTGCTGGTGGTCCCAGACACGGGTTGTGGGAACTGGGAAGCCAGTAGTAAGAGGGGGCCCTCTCTGGCCTTCTGCAGTAGGGGGTCCTTTTCATGGACATTTTCACCATAGTAACGGAGATACCAACTGTAGAGAAAAACCAAGCAGGGCATGGGGACCAGAGGGTGCTGAGGGGCATGCAACCACCATGTAAGGGTGGTCAGGATGTTGACGGGACCAAGGCCAAGGGAGCTGAGGGAGGAAAGCCTGCATACATGTCTACGGCCCATAAGTGGGGCAAGTGCTAACAGTCAGTGCAAAGGTCCTGAGGCAGGATGTGGGATGACTAGGGAATCTCAGCTGCTGGAGATAAATGTCAGGGGGGTGGGGAGAGAAAGGTTGGACTCCTTCAGGGCTTTGTGGAATTGAACTTTTTTTGGTGGTACTGGGCTTTGAACTCAGGGTCTCATGCTTGCTATGTAAGCACTCTTACCACATGACCCACTCTGCCAGTGGGTCTTTTTTCTTTTTTGTGATGGGTTATTTTGCAAAATAGGGTCTTAGGAATTATTTGCCCAAACTGGCTTTGAACTGCGGATCTCCTGAGCTCTGCCTCCTGAGTAGATAGGATTACAGGCGTGAGCCATGGTATGTGAGATGGAATTGAACTTTTGATGGCAGTGCAGGGGATGAAATCCAGGGCCTTGTGCATGCTGAGACCACCTCTACCAGAGCTACACCCCAGTGGGACTGGCTTTTCTGAAGCAGGATATGGAAGGGTGCAGGAGGGTGGAGGGACCTGGCTGGCATGTTCATGGCACCCTCTGGAGGTTGTGGGGGCATGCACAAGAGGTAGCAGCCTGGCTGGGCTCCCTGATAGACAGGAGGGTGGGCACAGTGGGCCTGGGTGGTCACTGAAGGCTTACATGCTGGCTTCCAGGGCAGTGGCCCAGGTGGTCCTTTTGAGAACCAGGGAGAGCCCAGCAAACTTGTCATCCGAGTGACAAGCCTCTGTAGAAAGGAGTATGGGCTCCTGGGTATGGAGGGACTCAACAATGTGGTGTTCACAGAGGGACTGGTGTGCCAACACGAAAGGGCTGAGGGCAAGAACCACACAAAGAGGAAGGACAGGACTCAGCCAGTGATACTCTCTGCCCACAGATGCCAAGCCCTGCCCTGCTAACTTTATGGCAGTAGTTGACCGCAAGCTGGAAGCGTACCAGGAAGCATACCTGTGTCCCCTTCTGATGGTTGAGTTCCTGGTGGCCGTGGCAGGCAATGGCCTGGCCCTATACCGCTTCATCATGCGGGAACAGCGGCCATGGCACCTGGCCGTGGTCTTCTCTGCCCAGCTGGCGTTCAGCAACCTACTCTATGCCCTGACACTGCCCCCGCTGGCCATGTACTTCTACCCCCCCAAGAGCTGGAGCTATGGGGAGGTGGCCTGCCGCCTGGAGCGCTTCCTCTTCACCTGCAACCTGCTGGGCGGTGTCATCTTCATCACGTGCATCAGCCTCAACCGCTACCTGGGTGTGGTCCACCCCTTCTTCACCCGCAGCCATCTGCGGCCTAAACATGCCTGGGCCTTCAGTGCTGCCAGTTGGGTCCTGGCGGCCCTGCTGGCAGTGCCCACCCTCAGCTTCTCCCACCTGAAGCAGCCACAGCAGGAAGCAGGGGAGTGTAGCCAAACCAAACCTGACGCCTGTGTCAAGTGCCTGGGGACAGCAGATGACAGCCGGCTGCCAGCCTTCAGAGCCTACAGCCTGGTGCTGGCGGGGCTGGGTGGCGGCTTGCCACTGCTGCTCACCCTGGTGGCTTACGGTGCACTGGGGTGGGCCGTGCTGCGCAGTCACAGCATGACCTCGGCTGAGAAGCTGCGTGTGATTATGCTGGTGGCCAGTGGGGTGGCCCTCTATGCCAGCTCCTACGTGCCCTACCATGTCACACGGGTGCTCAATTTGGACGCCCGGCAGCGCTGGCGTGCCCGCTGTCCAGGGTTTGCCAATGAGACCCAGGCCATGGAGGCACTGGAGCTGGAGCACTACCTGAGCTACCAGGTGACGCGGGGCCTGGTGCCCCTGGCCATCTGTATCCACCCGCTGCTCTACATGGCCGTGGTGCCCAGCCTGGACTGCTGCCGCCAGTGCTACCTGACCCGCCAAAACCCGGACAAGAACCCTGGCCAGGTCTTGCCTCTTGCCGCCACAGCCACCCCTGAAACCTCAGAGCTAGGCCTATGACGTGCTCTATCTCGAGCCTGCTCCTCACCATAAGGCACTCATAGTGACCAAGTAAGAACCCAAAAATGTGACAGGCCCTATGCCCTGAGAGGTCCCCTCCGGGCTCCCACTTCCTCCAGGAAGTGGCAGCCAGGGTGGGACAACCACAGCGCAAGTGGGGGAAGGCACAAGTCCCTTCCACGGTGTCACCCACAAGGCCATCGTGGGCCAGAGACCAAAGCCCAGCTTGGGGGAGAGGGAGGCACCCCACACAGAACGTTGAGAATGAACAGGACACACGAGAATGCTTTGTGCCTTTTTATGCCCTTGGCACCACTGCTCTTTGAAGTCACTTTTGTCAACAAGGCTCTGAGCGGCAGTTGGTTTAGTTGGTTGATGGCCTGGAGAGGGAGAGGGAGGGATGAAGGAGGGATAAGGAAGGCTTCAGACCCTGAGGTTCAGCAAAAAACCCCCACAAGCAGGACATCCAAGACGTGGGGAGACAGGCAGCATGGTGACAAAGGGCACATGTGCAGCCACACCAGCAGTTATAAGCCAGGCTCTGCTGCTGTGGACTGACAGGCAGTGGGTCCCAAGAAAAGCAGCTAGCTGACACTGGTGCCCATCTGTCCCTCTCAGGGTTTTTATAAAAAGACAATAAAGAACTGTCACCTCCCAGCAGGCTTGGTGGCTGTTAAATGTCCAGGGGCCCAACTGGCCATGGTGGCGGGCAGGGGGAGAACAGGGAGGGGAGGGTCTTACTTGGCCCACTCGACGTTGAGGATGAGGTGGTCGTATCCAAAGCCAGACACCCCAGCGATGGCGCGCGCGGCATCCTCACGACGGTGGAAGCTGATGAAGGCAAAGCCCTGGGGGACGGTGCAGACAAGTCAGGGGACAAGAGCAAGAGCGAGCACGGATGACCCCACCTGCCTGCCACTTGTCCTGAGGCCACCTGCCCACCTTGGACTGGCCAGTGGTCTTGTCCTTAGCCAGGTAGATGCGGGAGATGGAGCCGAAGGGCCGGAAGAGCTCCTGCAGGTCTGTTTCACGGGTGTCCTCGGACAGGTTGGTGACACGGATGGTGGCGTTGTCGTCAGCTGTGCAAATGGGAGGTCAGCAGTGAGGAGAAGGCCCTGCCCAACCCCCACACAGTGGCCCAGGGATAATTACAGGGTGCCAGGAGGCGTTCTCACCTCTGCGGTTGGGCTGCATGGACTCCCCGCGGCGGCTGGCCCCGTCCCGCAGGCTTGGCGGCACGTACTTCCCCGTCTTGCTCTGGGCGGCCTGCACAGGCTCCAGCTCTGCACACCAAAGGACGGTCACTCAGTCCTGAGCCCCTGCAGTGGTGCCCACTGAGCAGCCACCCTACTTACTCTATGACACCAAAGGCCTGGCCCTGTCCAGCATGACCACCACCTGCCAAACCACAGGCATATGATGGGGCACTCCAGGCCTCTCTAAACCTCAGTGGCCATGATGGCACCAAGGTCACAAGCAGGGAGATGACACCCTCCAGGCACCCACACCTTGTCACACAGGGCTAAGCACCCCAAGCACACAACACACAATCCCCATGCAAGGCAGGGGACAAGGACAATTCAGAAGCCAGCCACAGGAGGGAGCTGCCCAAGCCCACCACCACCAGACTGTGTCCAAGGACTAGGACCAGTTGCAAGGGAATCACATGCACACACACAAAGTGGGGGTGCTGGCATCACAGGCCAGACAAGACATTACACACTCAGCCAGAATGGTCAGTCACCAGCAGAACAGCAGCCAGCGAGTCACACATAACCTGGCACAACTACCCCCAACTGCACTCAGAGCAGCTGCGCACTAAGGATGCACAAGGCGCAGGCACAGCCAAACACAGGCGGTGACAGTGTGGATGATGACAGCCACAGGGCCGGTGCTGTAACAACCAGGGCCCCTCCACAGAGCCCCTGGGCCGCACCTCCCGGCAACTTCTCCTTCTCGCCAGTGGACAGGCCCAGCTGCTCGGCCAGCTCCTTCTGCATGGGCCCCAGGGTGTCCTTGTAGGGGCAGCGGGTGGTCCAGTGGTCGCCCTTGCAGATGCGGCAGGACACAATCTTCTGACCCTTGAGCTTGTTCATCGGGTCCTCCTCCTCCTGGCAGTTCAGGTCCTGGCAGGAATGGCAGAGCAGCTCAAGGAGGCTGCCACACCTCTGCCACAGCCACCCTGGCACCAACCCTGCTCTGTCGCCCCACCTACCTCTTTGCTGGTGATGAATGTCATGGAGACGTCATCACTGACAGTGGTGGTAGCCACATTGGGCCCTGGTGGGTCAAACTCTGAGTTCCCAAACTTCTTCCAGTTCTGGGCTCAGAGAGGGAGGGGAGATGAGAAAAATCAGGGCAGAGGCAGATAGGGTCCCGTGAGGGGGCACCCCAGGCCTGCAAATGCCACCTCCAGCATGTCTGGGCCTCAAATCCCATACTCCACTCCCCTAATCGTAACAATGACGACTCCCTTATTCTAAGTGTCGTGCTAGGCCCTAGCTTCACATCGGATCCGGGAGACAGGGGCAGCTCTCAGCCAGACAAGAGCTCCACAAACGAGACTGAGAGTGGGGCAGGGACACATGCACAACCAACTTCTACGGCAGGCTGGTGGGCCACCTCCCACCAGAAGTGACACTCAGGGACGTGCATGGTTCAGCCAGGCATAAGGGAACTTGCTCTGTTTAAACGACCTGCGCCTCATTCGTTCCTATAAAACGGGGACCACAAATGCTTCCTGCCTGCCTGGACTGTGACGGAGATGGAGTGAGAAGCAACATCCTGCAGCGTGCCTGGCACGGGTCTTGGCACAAAGAAAGTGCACAGCAAAGTGTGCTATGCGGCTTCACAGCTGTTGCTTCTTCCAGAAGCCCTGGGTAAACAGGAGCTGTGGTTTTAAATGCCTCAAGGGAGGGCTTGGCTCTGTTCCTCCAGGTAGACAGGCTAAGAGCAGTAAGAACCTAATGCTGCCTGAATCCCGGCATGGTGGTGCACACCTGCAATCCCAGCACTTGGGAGGCGGAGGCAGAAGCACCACAAGTTCCAGGGCACCCTGGGCTACATAGGAAGACCCTACCTCAATTCCCACCCCACTCCCCAAAAACGTTAGATACCCTGCCAGCATCAGGAATTCCCAATTCCTCTGGGTTAACCTTAGGCAAACCCCCAAAACAGGAAGGAAGGTCTCACCTTCCTCCTTGCAACAGCCTTTGATGCCTTCCGGGTCTCGATCCTGAAGGTTCTGACGATCTGTGGAAGGGAGGAGAGAAGGTCGGCTTCTTGCACCTCAAGGTTCCTGGAACTACAGGATTGTCCTCACCAACCCACACTGCCCGTCACTGCAGATATAAGTGCCCCCAAGCACAGGGCACTTGCCCTCTGTCCTCAGCCCAGACTCACCTTGAACTTCTTGCCATCCTCATCTACCTTGTACTCGGTCACTGTCTTTACGTTTCCGTTGATGACCTCCTTGGGAGCCGGCAGTGGGGCTGGGAAAAGATGAGGGTATCTGAGCCCTGGGTAATGGGGAGCCGGTGATAGCAAGGCTGGGGACAGGGGTAGCCCGGGGATGGAGTGGCAGTCACGAGTGGGTCACTTACCTCCTGGAAGCAGCTCAGGTTCTGGGCTGGTGTCCCCGGTGGCCAGAGGGATACCCTTGAGGAGCTCGCTGGTGACACATTTGTCTGCCAGAGGGAGCATGGGGAGACAGGGTCAGCTGGGGGCGGGAAGGAGCTCCAAAACCGAGAGGCAAAGACCCTGGGGGTGACACCCCCCACTAGAAGCTGAGGGAAGGTGGGTCAAGGGCAGAGGACTGGCGTGGTGGCCTCGAGCAGTGACAGGAGTGGGAAGACCCCACGCATGAAGCTGGGGGACAAGCCACAGAGCCATCCGGGCGCCAGTACAAATGCAGGAACCAGGCTGTTCCCACTTCCGCCTGGGACAGGGACCTGGAAGGATGACAAGGGAGTGGGCAACAGGTTGGCCCCAGGAGGATGGCCTGGGGCAGGGAGGGGGCTCTCAGCAGGCGCAGTGACCAGGCGATCCGGGGCGACCGCGTAGACGCACTCACCATCTTCTCCCTCCTCTTCCACCTGGTCGGCCCAGCTGGGCTTCGAACTGCGGAGACAAGTTTGTGGCGGGGTAGGGATGGGGCAGCGAGGCCCGGTATCCGCGGCCTCGGCGCACCCCGGCCCCGTAATACGCCCCAGAATGCCCACATTGCCTCTCCGGAGCCCCCCGTCCGCGACCCCGGACTCACTCAAAGTCGCCGGTCGGCATTGTAAAGTCTACTCCACGCAACCCCAGCCCGGGCCAGAGAGCGGAAGCGGACGGAGAACGAGACTTCCGGTGAGGCCGCCGCCGCCGCCTAGAGCAGCCTGGCAGCGGCGTCTACAGCGCCCCCTGAGGACGGAGGAGGAAATGACTGTAGCTGCGCGGCTGGGCGCTGGTACCCAGCCAGCTGGTAAAGAGCCAAGGAGCATCTCTGAGCTTATTTCATTAAACATTGTTTATTTTGGCGGTACTGGGGTTTTGAACTCAGAGCCTCACGCGTGCTGGCCAGCGCTCTACCACTTGAGCCATTCTGCCAGTCCCTTGTTTGGTCTTCTGAGACAGAGTCTCTCTGTGTATTCCAGGCTAGCCTTGAATTTGCAATGCTCCTGCTTGCCTCCCAGATTACAGGCGAGTACCAAAAGGCCTGGTTTATTGTGTATTTGTCTTTTTAAAAGTTTAGTAGGGCCAGGAGCGGTGGCTCACCCCTGTAATCCTAGCTACTTGGGAGGCTGAGATCAGGAGGATCACCATTTGAGGCCAGCCCTGGGCTACAAAGTGAGATTCTGTCTCACCTCCCCCCAATAATAGTAGTAGTAATAATAACAGTGATAATAACGTTCTTTTTTTCTTTTTCTTTTCTCTTTCTTTCTTCCTTTCTTTTTTTTTTTTTTTTTTTTTTTGAGAGCTGGGGTCTCACTATATTGTCCTGACTGGGTAAGCCAAGTGTTTGCCCAGGCTGGCCTTGAACCATGATTCTCCTGAACTCTGCTTCCTGAATAACCTAGGGTTACAGGTATGAGTCACCGACACCTGTCATGGACTGTCCTTATCTCCTTATCTGAATGACAAGATATCAACTGGTTCCCTTTTCTTTGTAGCATTTTTGTGGGTTTTCTTTTTTTTTTTTTTTTTTTGGTGGCACTAGGGTTTGAACTCAGGGCTTCCTGCTTGCTAGGTGGGCACCCTTACCGCTTGAGCCACTC